TTTAAATACCAAATTTGTGCAAATATATGTCCCACATATTTAATAATACATGAGTTCGCCAGTTCGGCAAATATTCACTATACTATCTATACTATCTATAGTTAATATTGCCACAGAATAAAGAATTGATATTGCCGTATCTTCGGCGTAGAGTTTACATGGAATGCAATATATTACACTGTTAAAATATTAATATACAAGTAGACAAATACCACATATTATATATTTAAATACCAAATTTGTGCAAATACATGTCCCACATATTTTATAAGTTTTATAATACACGAGTTCGCCAGTTCGGCAAATATTTACCATACTATCTATAGTTAATATTGCCGTATCTTCGGCGTAGAATCTACATTTACATGGAATACACTCTGGAATTTTTTTATTAATATATTACACTGTTAAAATATTGGATATTTTCGAGGATATTTTAAGCCATTTGTCAACATAGTTCACAAAAAGCTTTATACAGTATTAAAAACAATCCTTCTGTGACTTCTGTAAATTTTAAACAGTGAAAACATTCTCAGGAGATATTGAATTAAATCCTGGTCCTGTATTTCTGTATATTGACTCCATAACTCTGTTCAAAACAACAGTCCAACTATAAAGCTGTCATCAAATGTAGTGTTAGAGCAAAGGTTGAAGATGTTATCAGTTAAAATACTTATACATTTTGGTTTTACACATTAGAGTTTATAATTAAACAAAATTTTTACAAACATTTTCAAATAAAAGAATCCTCACCCTCCCGAGCCTCATTATACATTGTCATTTTGCTTTCTAACATAAATATTTTTCTTTAGAGATTAATACAAGAATGAAGAATAAATGTACTGGATATTGGCTGGATAATTTTGTCAGAACAACCAACTTGCAAGACAATCTTACCTAAATTCATTGTTTTGGAAAATAACTTAACAGCTACAATGAATAATCATATATATTATATGGTGGATTTGATCAATGGCACACAATGTACAAAACTAAACTTGTGATACCTTCTACTCAAACCGATAATCTCCCACAACACGATTGTTTTTGTGTGAATGTGCTGTACGTGTTAAACCGAACAGTGTGGTACATCATTAACTGTGCACAGAACTGGAATTTAATTATATACTTCACTCATGACCTTCAAAACATTCTCAATTATTCAGTGGTCTTCGATATGTTCACCAAATATTTTGTGTATGTTACTCAACAGTTAACATTGGCAAGTGTAAACAACAAGTGACATAACTTTTGCTTGATATGATTACAATAAAGTTTTGAAAATTTGATGAGTATGGATTGAATTGACAGGTGACAGTTTACTAAATAGCCGGCTGTATAGACACTTTGAATATTGTTTGCATGAAATTTTTATTTCCTGACTGCATAATTATCTGTTACAATCATAATCACATTATAAAGTTAGTTAAATTTTCTCGGTGCGGGGGTTGGGGTGGGGGTAGCACTTGCCCTGCTGCACTCCCCGCTGTGTACAGCCCTGTTTTAAATCTTATCTGCCATTATAATAAGTGATGAAATATTTCAATTGTCCCATGTCATCTTCATTATTCAGTTTCTTTCAAGAAAATACAAAATGTGAATCAAGTTTTTTCGCAGCGAAGCAGCAGTCCAATTTGTGCAGAGAGGCGTCAGTTCATGTAGTACATTACACATCCACCCGACTTCATGTGCTTTGACTCACTATACACTGCAGACTAGTAGATTAGTTTTGGTTTCTTAGTTTAATACACTGTGTATATATATATGATGTGGTAAATGAGCCTATAGCAAAAACTTGTGTTATATAATTTACCTGTACGCGTACTAAAGCAGCGCGTAATTCAACTGATTCCAGTTGCCGGCACTTGGTCTTGGAAATATTAGTACATATTTATGCTGTATCTCTTAAGAATGCTTTGTCATTTGTATTCATACGCGACTTGGGCTTGGAAATATATATTCTTGCATAATTATGCTTTAGTGAATATTACCGTTCCATAAACATTAACATTAACTGGCGCAACTATTCAATGAGACGACATGTTTAAGAGCTTCTGCCTGTAAAAACCGAGAATCTCAAGTCAAATGAAAATATTCGAATTTTTTTTTTATTTCACCAAATCAACCCATTTAGTGTTCCTACAATGGAAAAAATACTAAAAAGTTGCTGCGATTTTTTTTTCGTAAGATTTTTATAAAATCCTGATTTCGCGGGTAATGAGTTAATTTTCATGCTCGAACCGGCTGACATTTAACCCAACTTTATGAAAGGACTGACGGATAAATATGAAACCGATGAACTCCATATTCCCAACATGTTTCAAGGTACTATTGCAGGTAAACTACGTGAACCGTTCCTCTTTTGAGTTCCTAATTCATTTGGAATTTTCATAATTAGCTTTGCAAATTTGAAAAACTCTTTGCGAATCCTTGAGGGAATTTGCAATTTTCCTGTCGGCCGTTGCAATATTCCAACGCAAAGAAAGTTCCTTTCAAATTTTTCTAACTTCCTGTTCTAATTTCCTGACTTCCTGTTCTGTTCTGAGCGTTGTCATTGGTGGATTATTTTTGTTAGCCAATTACAACGCGCAGAACAGAACAGGAAGTTATGAACTTGTAACAGGAAGTTAAGAACTTCTAACAGGAACTGAGGAAAATTTATTTGGCTCTTAAGAACATTGCAAGTTCCCTCAATGGATTTGCAAGGGAGTTTTTCAAATTTGCTAAGGTAATGAGGAAAATTGCAATCAAGTTAGGAACTTAAAAAAGGAACGCTTCACGTAGTTTACCTGTAAAGTTTGCTATCTGACTGTTATAACGATCCTAAGATTAATTGTTATTTTATTATGAATTTTTTTAAGGGACCCCTTCCCGAAACCTCGCAAACTATACAAAAAATGGCTAAGTTTAATGGGTATAAAACGTTCCTGGTACCTAAAAGTTTGAAACAAAAATTACAGCATCTAAAAGCCTGATTATTGCTTGCTATACCACAAAAGTTTCATGCTCGGAATCGAAGTGGTTTTGCATTTAAAAATAAAAGTGTGAAGTAAGGTATACCCAATTAGGACCTCACGCCAACCGGCGCGTATAGCTAAACATACGTCTAGCCATGGAAAAAACTGATAGTTAAAACATTCTTGAGAATTAAGTTTGGTAGTTATAGCATTGGAAGAATACAAAGAATATGACTACGGATGCAAGTTACGAGATTTAAAGCTTTTAAACCGATAAAACTCCGGTATATAAAGCATTATGTCACAAAAATGTCACAAAAATGCTAAAATTAAAATAACTGCATATCACAAACACCGCGGTGTCCACTCAGTGTTAGCCTGCGTAGCAGGCGTTTAGTACGGGCGGGAGAAAAAAGGGCGTCGTTAAATAAACGCCTGCCCAAATGCCTATGATTAATTTGTTCTTCTCCGAAGAATCTTCGGAAAAGCTTCCCATTGGTTAATCTCGTTAACGGAATAATTACGTAACTCAAATGTCAACAATAATTTTGCTCGCGTTGACGCGTTTATAGTCGCGTATCAAAAATATGCCGCCTGTTAATGCTTTCGAGGAAACTTTCTTATATTTCAAGTATTTATATAGGCTTCGAAATTCAGTTGAACCAGAACAGAGAAAGTATATTATTAATTTGCTACGTGGTGAAGACGCCGGTTATCGCGATTCTTCCTAAGGAATACGGAAAAGTTTGATCTTTCAATTATATTATACATTTTAAATATATCCTGAATATTTCTTTAATATAGTTGTCTTGTTATTTGTTCACTTTAAAGTATAATTCAAGACCAGATAGTTGAGGCTATATCACTTGGCTTTGCATGAGGTTGAATGATGATTTTAAGAATAACATTTCAAAACATGCTCAACTGTTATATTTGCTATACGGCAGAATACGTTAAACAACCGTGGTTCAGGAGTCTTTTAAAAGATAAAAGCTCTGTGCACGTTGTGACTGACTGTTGTCTAAAATAGCTTCAAAAACTCATTAATAATTCATGAGGAAAACACAAAGAAAAATTATAAACGTGTCGTATCATTGATATGTGATAGAGATTTCCCTTGATTTACATAAATTTTAATGATTTTCTCTACATATACACACCGAATTTTTTGAAAGCTACTTCGCCAATGAACGTATACTATATCGATCGTTTTTGAAGCAATTTAAAACATTCGCAGTGCGTGTTTTATCAGACCATCTTTATATCTGATAAAACACTGCTGCTCGTGTTTTAAATAGTTCATAAAATCTCTGCAAATCTCCGTAGTTGCCGAGCAAAAAGCATGCATGCATGATGCTAAATATAAATCTCGACTATGATTGGATAATGGGTGAAGGTGCTAATTACAAAACGTCAATCATCCTTAATAGGCGAAAACAAATTTGTCATAGCCAATTTGGGCAGGCGTTTCCTCTGTACCCGCCCGTCAGCTAAACGCCTGGTATGCAGGCTAACTCAGTGTATGATCTTCTTTCATGCAAAAGCAGCTTAACCTTAATTTATAATATGTGGGTATAGTAACGATTGCATCCAATTCGGAGTTATTTGCTCGCATTGATTATATTGTGTGCAAAACTTCAAAACTACAGTACATTTTGTAAATAACATGAAATATATTAAAAATATCAAACAAAATTCTCATTTATACTATTGAAATTACAACGAAATAGCATTCTACGTCGATAATTTCAATCATAGTTTAATAATTATTTTCAATCTGTAGTAATTCACCGTTTCCATGTTTTTTTTTATACTTTCAATAAAGCTACAATAAAGCTAAATTTGTAGGAAATAACATTATTTAGTTATAAAATAGTAAAGGAAATCTAACAGTCAATCGCTTTCGATAAAACCTTGACCTTGTTTACATATTACCGTCGTTTGCAACTAACGATGAACAGTCGCTCATAAAAACATTGCCTATTCGCGTGAGAATCTAAAGTTTTCTTATTTTGATATAATAGCTATTTTTCAATAAATATATTGATATTAAACTTCTCACACATCATTAGATATTCATAGCATTTCGGCCAATGACATGGTGTAATTTACATCACGTGTATCTATCTGGATACCCCGTCTAGACCAGGAATTTAATTACTTCAAGTGGGAAGGGCTTTGAACAATAGGGAAATTGAGGGGTAAACAAAAGATTATGCAAATATATTTAATTGCTATGTTTAGAATTATTTCTAAATACAGTAAGCTGTATTTAGAAATAACTTCTAAATACACAAAACATTAAAACACACTTCAAACAACAAAATATCTTGCTTTTTTAATCACACTAACAATAACACACATACAATTGACTTAGTATTACTTATTTCCGGCAAACGAAATGTTAAAGGAACAGTTGGTGAATGTACTGTTCGACAAAACAAACTTTTCTGCGATAGTACGTCGCTGCACCTCTTTATCAATTTTAGACCAGTCCACTACACTCAAAAACTTATCAAGTTCCTCGTCGGAAATTTGAAACTTTTCGTCTTCCTTAGGCGTCGAGGGTGGCTTAAAACCAGTGGCGAAGCCAGCGGTCATGCAGGTCATGCAGTGCATGACTAAAAATTTCCCCCAAAATGTTTAAAAATCAGTTCAGTATAATTGTTTACAATAGAATTATACTTTACCTTTGCACTTCTACGCCTAAGTATTTTATTTATTATTTTGTTTTACCAAATCAATGGTCTTTAGGCGATATTCTTGCTAAATATTCTCGTATGTTATTGATTTTGGCTTTGTTACCTTGGCAACTGAGCGGTCCTGCATATTTTCACATGCATGACCGGTTGCGTAAGCGCGTGGAAAAAGATTGCGTGTGATTGCTGCGTGGTTTGCTTGCTGTGTGTTTTGGTCATGCACTTTCAGAATTTCATGACTAGCTGTATTATTTTATATTAGGTTTGTTGGTTTCTGATTGGCTTACGACGTTCGCGCACGCGCAATGCGGCTGTTTTTGACGCCTTGGTCATGCAATTTTCGATTTGCATGACTAAACGGGCAACACAACCTGATCACAGCCTCTTAGCTCGAAGCTTTCAGCCTGAATGAACACGTCTTCAGGTCATTCAAGCATGTCGACTTCTTCTTTACTCGAAGCTAACGATATTGTTTGGGAATTGGTGAAGAAACCATTTTCTGCTGAGCAGAATATTATTGTTTATAAGCAGAGACAAACGCCAGATCTTTCGACATGCCCGATCGGGAAGGTTTTCAAATGCCGTGGTATTCAAAGAAAGAATGGCTTAGCCAGTCAGGCTGAGGATAAATAAGCTATTGCCTATTGGTATTTAGTTATTGTTACATGTATTTTGTCTTGAATATTTAAGCCTTCAACCCGAGCATAGCCGCATAGGCGTATAAAGCATCGAACGCTATATACTATATGAAATACAATGTCAATGTCGAGGTCAATGTCGTCGATGTAGTAAACAATGTAGTTCTATAAATAGCGCTGCAAAGCTTATACATTTCAACACGCAACACAAACATTTTAGCGATTGTGATTTAGCAACATATTTGATATATACTTGTTTGTGAAACAAACAAAGAAATTTCAATATATATTGTTAAATTGTAGTTACCATTTGGTACATACTCCTCGTGCGTTCGAAAATATCCAACATTGGCAATAGCCAATAATCGATATGAATGCAGAATTAGGATATAAAACTGACAGTAAAACTTCTACTCAAACATCTGATAATGCTTAATTCATTTCTGTATGTAATATTGTAATAATTGGGCGATTGATTTTAAATTAAGGAAATTGATCAAGGCTCATGCGTTATATTTTCCAAGTCCTGCATATTATACCTATATTCTAGATTATACTGACTGTATTAGCAGCTATTTGTCATTATGTTCCGTTAGTATACGTGGATAAAATTGTATCTAGTTCTGGAAATGTGAAAACTCTTCAGACTTCACGTTGGAATACTAAAAGGGGATAGCAATTAGGTAGTCTATACAGACTATGATAATACAGAACATGCATGTAATATTTTCTGATCGAAAAGAAATGCACAATTGCCGGTATGACTATAATTAGCGGAACTGCAGACACAGATTTCCTATTTTTGTGTCGATCTTCATTATTGTTGTCTGAAATATGCCAAAATATCCACATATTTTCCCGTCATTAGATCAAGCTATTTTCTGAAATTTGATGCTCAGATTGCTGCAAATGGCGTTTCTGGGGTATATATTTCAAAAATTTTCCAGGGGGCATGCCCCCGGACCCCCCTAGGATGTCTCACGCCTTCGGCGCTCGTTTGCATGACCACTCACACGACGCTGGCTTCGCCACTGCTTAAAACAGTTGTCAACAAGCGACACAACCTTTGATACAGATGGGCCAAGTGGCCAACACACTTGGATACAGCCATTGCTTGATCATTACTAGGTTTCTCATACGTAAATAAGGCAGAAGAAACATGCCCAGTTTCTAAATCTATCCAATAGGAAACCGTTAATGTCATGTTT